TTGGTTAAGATAACGTCAAAGTATGGGATCCGGGCAACTCTTACTATTCCATAGAATTTCCAGAAGTACCATATTCAGATCAGTTAGCAGTCGAAATGTCAGTCAGTCAGTCAGATGCAACGTAGAACTTCGTACGTAAGTACATCAGTTCATGTCGCCATACCACATCAGCACAGAGATGTAATTGTCAATTCAAATCCAATAGCAGAAGAGGTAGTAAAGGTATTAGAAGTAATCGGAGAGGTTAGGATTAGAAGATATTATTCAAGAAGAATGATTCAGTGGGAAAAGTTTACAGAGTTGGAGAATCCAGAAGATTAGGATTTGAGAGAACACAAAAAATAAATGCACAAGGCGTCATTGAGAACGATTTCGAGCCATGTCATTCAAGGTCTCTAGCCACTGATTATTTTCATCTCGCGGACCTCAACCAGGTAGTCGACAATTACCGACATGTCTAAGTCCACTCGTCAATGATTTCATGGATTTGTGCCATGTTTTGATTTGGCCGCCCCTAACTTTCTTCCAACCGATTCCTACACTAAAAAACAAAGCTCTTCGAGGCAGTCGGTGGTTAGGCATACACAACACATGTCCCAACCACCTCAACTGATGAAGTTTCAATACTTCATCTATTGATCTTCCATTCTTACCTAGTCGAAATGTACATTGATATTATCCCAATCTATGAACTCATAAGGATAAGGTCAATCAACCACAAGATTACAGGTCAATATGAATCCAAAGTTGTTGAATCAAAGTGATAAAATCCAAGAAGAAAGTCAATAATCACAAACAAGTCAGTTAGGGTGAGCTGATATAATACTTGTCGAATAGTTAGAAAGTTCACTTTTAAATAATGTAGGCCCTGAAAGCGTTGTCCAGAATGAGAGCTCAAGCTGCGCAATAAAACCATGTAGCTCAGAGAACATAATGATCGTTATTTAGTAAGCTTCATTTCAAATAAATTTCAATACTGTTAATCTCTTTCTTTTCTCTTATCTTCTCTATCTCTTTATTTAGGTTCTTACAAAAGATTCAGTTACTGTCGCTGTAGACGCTGTAGTTTATTATCGAATATATAATCCAGTTGTAGCTATAACTAATGTTGAAGATGCTGATCGATCAACACGTTTATTGGCAGCAACTACATTAAGAAATGTTTTGGGTACAAAAAATCTTGCTGAAATTCTTTCAGAACGTGAATCTATTTCAACATCGATGCAGGTGAAAACTGAAAAAACAATAAAACTCTATTTTTATATATTTTTTTCAGCTACAAGTTTTAGCAGTTAGTTAGAAAATGAGAATATTTGTGATTTATTATATATAATCATGAGAAGAAATAATTGCCTATCATATGATGATTACAAGTTAATAAATAGAATGATTTTAGATGATTATGTAATAAAAAGTGTGATTTATCAGAGAGCGAGTGAGAGAGACAGGCAATGATATATATATGTGTATAGGGTATGTAAGCAGATGTGTACATACAAACTGATTGCACATTCAATATTTCACCATATTCTGTCTAAAGTTGATGAAAGTAAGTTTGAGTGATCTAATATCCTCGTAATTGATGAAAATCAAATACAACATACATACATACATACATAGAAGAATATCATTAACTTTAGTTATCAATAATAACAGCGTATATTATTTATTAAGAAAAAACAAACAAGTGAATGAGGATAAATTGAGCTGTAAATAAAATTACAGGATATGTAAAGATAGATGGATATTTCTTCTTCTGGTTAGTGTCTGATTTTTAAGCGAGTTAGTTATCTATGGGATAGGCAAGAATTGGACAGAAATGGAAAAAGAAACTCAAGACAGAGTAGGTTAGAGAATGCTGGTCGGTGGCTTGTGCTCCATCGGGGGTTAACTGGAGTAAGTAAGTAGGTAAGTAAGTAAGTAAGTAAGTCAGTAAGTAAGTTAGTTAGTTAGTCAGTTAGTTAGTTAGTTAGTCAGTATGCAAGCTAGTAAGTAAGTGAGTAAGTAAGTAAGTAAGTAAGTAAGTAAGTAAGTAAGTAAGTAAGTAAGTAAGTAAGTAAGTAAGTAAGTAAGTAGGTAAGTAGGTTAGTAAATAAGTAAGTCAGTAAATAAGTAATTCAGTCAGTCAGTAAGTAAGTAAGTAAATAAGTAAGTAAGTAAGTAAGTAAGAGGGTAAGTAGGTAGGTAGGTAAGTAGGTTAGTAAATAAGTAAGTCAGTAAATAAGTAATTCAGTCAGTCAGTAAGTAAGTAAGTAAGTAAGTAAGTAAGTAAGTAAGTAAGTAAGTAAGTAGGTAGGTAGCTAAGTAGGTTAGTAAATAAGTAAGTCAGTAAATAAGTAATTCAGTCAGTCAGTAAGTAAGTAAGTAAATAAGTAAGTAAGTAAGTAAGTAAGTAAGTAAGTAAGTAGGTAGGTAGGTAAGAAGGTTAGTAAATAAGTAAGTCAGTAAATAAGTAATTCAGTCAGTCAGTAAGTAAGTAAGTAAATAAGTAAGTAAGTAAGTAAGTAAGTAAGTAAGTAAGTAAGTAGGTAGCTAAGTAGGTTAGTAAATAAGTAAGTCAGTAAATAAGTAATTCAGTCAGTCAGTAAGTAAGTAAGTAAGTAAGTAAGTAAGTAAGTAAGTAAGTAAGTAGGTAGCTAAGTAGGTTAGTAAATAAGTAAGTAGGTAGGTGAGTAAGTAAGTAAGTATGTAAGACAGATATACTTTTTATATTGTTTTGTAGATTACTGAACTAGTGATGGCTCTAAAAAGCCATAGAAAATCACGAGGTACATTGTTAATTACTGCTGAACATAATATATATAAACACATTAGAATATGTTATTGTCATTAGTGATAATTGATGTTTGTTTTCGTTGATTTAAAGAAAATGTTTTTTTTTCTTGAACATTTAACCATATTCAGTCGTTGTATAGTTTTAATTGTAAAGTTGTACTTTTAGCACAAATTAGAGCTTAAATTGACACTTATCAAGTTATTTGACTTTCGAAAAGTTAGTCCTCCTAGGCAATATTATTAGCATAATTTGATATTTTTTATATAGAAAGGCAATTGTGGCATAATTTCGTCAGTTAGCTCACAAAATCCATCATAGACAAATTTCACTTACTGAACTTCTAATCATCTCCTATAATCTATTGTAGTAGCTTGGATTTGTTTACTTAGTGGTGGAAATGCTAAGCATTTACTGTGAGGTTTGAAAGTAATTGGTTTTTTTCTCTGTGATGAATGTAGCAGACGTGTAGTGACGAAGGATTTATTGCTGTGAAGAAATGGTTGATTGATATTTCCAAGTGTTTTTAATTTTTGCTGTACTAATGTTAGTTTGATAAATATTTGTTTACTTCATTTCTACTCTCTTTTTCTTAGACAATGCTTGACGATGCAACGGATCCATGGGGTGTAAAAGTAGAACGTGTTGAAGTGTAAGTCAACTGATAACATACTTTTTCTTATTCTCTTACATTAAAATCATGAATGAATCATCGTTAGGCAATCATTAGAAACTTGGGGACGCTTCGTCCTAGTGTGGGGACTCATCAGCAGTACGCATCCACGACTGTCTCCATTCATAGGATTTGAACCTAGGAACTTCGATCTTGTGCGCGAACACTTAACCTCTAGACCATTGAGCTGCCATTCAACATTGTTATTGTCTAATTCTGATCAGTCTAAGGATTTTACACAACCACACCCATTGTCGTCGGTAGTTACTGCATACACTCGACAGGACTGAATTCCACTAGTTACGTCTTCTAACTAGAACTTCGAGAGTTTCCTCACGAAGCTAGTCGCATTTTATGATTCCTACATTATAGTGGTTGAGCATTCACGCACAAGACAGAGGGTCCTGGTTCCGAATCCTGTGAGTGGCTGGAGTCGTGGATGTACACTGTAGATGAGTCCCATACAAGAACAAAACAGCAATCTATTGCTTCCTGGTTTCTAATCATAGAAAAAATCGATCTCCATTATTCTATAATGCATCAACACTATTGATCGAATTTCAATGATATTTTCGTCGATACGATTTTCAAGCTGTACGATATACATTTTTTAGCTCAGTGATGAAATTCTTAATTCTAGAGAATTAAAGTTTTAAGTGTCATCAATATGAATCTCTGTAAACTTAAATTTCAACCTAGTAAATACGCGTCAACAATACCTACCTCTCAAACTTGAGGAGTTTATTATTCTCGTTATTGATTTAAACCTGCATTGCTTATTATTATATTCAATTTTGACTAACAAACAAATGAGGTCAGTCAGTCAGAGCTTCAAGTTGAACTTTGAAAGCCATAATACTGAAAGAAAACATTTCATATCGGCGTCAACTTACTTCCAGTGAGATCAACCCTAGAAGCCCTGGACGGCCATTTCGTCCTAGTATGGGACTCCTTAGCAGTGCGCATCCGCGACTCCTGCGCCCCGCAGGATTCGAACCCAGGACCTTCGGTGCGAGAACGCCCCGACCGTTAGACCACTGAGCCGGTATCTAACGGTGTTAATGTCTAACTTGATCAAATTCACGGAGTTGCGCAACCTCATACACAGTCTTCGGTAGTTACCGTCTACACCTAAACAGGTTGAACTTCACTGGTCACGTCTTCCCACTAGAACTCGGAGAAGATTCCTCGCGAAGCTAGTCACTAGTGAGCACAGGCAATTTGCATTATGGGGTTGTGAAGATTGTTAAGTTACACATTTTTGAAACCATGAATCGATCAATGTTAGACCACCATTAAAAACCTGGAAGCACTGAACGGCCGTTTCGTCCTGATATGGGTCTAACAGTTAGGGCGGTCGTGCACAATACCAACCGAATTGTATTTATCGAAAATTACAGAGTTACTCAGTAAAATTGGAAAACCATATCGTAAACGGTTAATTTGCAAATCTTCAATCCATCATCAATCCATTGTCTGACATTTCACTATTCATGCGTTTCATACAAATTCCATTGTGTTTCCACTCTTCCTTTCTTGATCTTCCCTCATCTTCTGCTGCCAGACATTACGTTTTCACTAGCGTCATATACTACTTATAAGTAGCGCGCACCACACTACGACTGTATGCAATGGTGATGATCACATTAGTTTTTTTTCGCTTTAATTATGATTCGATATACCATTGATTTTGCACAAAATTTAAACAAATAATTTACTGGAATTATTTTTTTTCTAAAAAAAAGAATTCTTTTTGGGGAATAATTGTACAATAATTTACTTTTCTTTATTATGTTTGAAAATTAGTGATAAATTCAAATATTGATCAAAAAAAACAAAAGGAAATTATGTTTAATTTTCATTAGCAAATATTTTTAAGTCAAATAATTAAAAACGAAACAAAGTAAACATCAATTAACATGATTTGCTTACTGACATTCGTTTGTTATGGAACATTGGCCACAGACTAGCATTCTCCAACCTGCATATGCATAGGCCTTCCTTTGCAGTTCTTTTCAATTTCTGTCCATTCTTCTAATGTCTGTTTCCGATTCTCCGATCAATATGTTCTTTGGTCTTCCTGTTCGCATTTGGTCTTGAAGATTCCAAGTGAGAGCTTGTATTGTAACGCAGTTGAGCGATTTCTTCAATGTTTGTCCTATACACTTCCAGCACTTCTTTCTGATTCCCTCCTACCCAGGAATCTAATTTTTCTCACAACCCTAGTAGGTTGTTGCTGATAGTGTCTGGCCGACATATCCTAAGTATTTTGTGTCGAAAACTGTTGATTTTCCAATCCATACAGTAAAACTGTCTTGATATTTGTATCGATAATTCTAAATTTAGTGGTTTCGAGTTTCAGATGTAGGTCAGTGGTAAAAATTCTGCACTTGCTTTGCCAATCCACTCTTTCATATCTGCATTAGATCCAGCTTGTTCATCATTTTCGCTGCCCAGTCATGGAAAGGTTTTGTAGAGCTTCTCTTTCAAGTGTAATTTGGTTGGTGCATGTTGTGTTGGATCGAGAGATCTTGCTTTTTTCCGTGTGTATGTTGAGTCCTCCTGCTGCTTCAGTGAAGCCTGTTTTCCCTCTATCGTTACTGCCCGGTTCAAAACCCCTTAGAAATGAGGAGGGTCAAGCATGCGTTTGGCAACTCAATCCCCTTGCAAAACTAACATTAAAAAACAAATACGCTAACCAGAAATAACATGACACTGACTACAAAATATTATTATTAACTTTGAGTTCTAATGATACCATCAACTTTTTATCAATCAGTT